GAATAAAGTAGACGGACAAAAGAGCTTAGTGTACTTAGATTCTTTTCCCGAAAATAATTCTCGCCGTAGCTTCTCTTCTGGGCCCCTGGAACCAGCCTTAATAATATTCAAGATATTTATTTAGTCAGAGTTGCTCAGGCCAGTGTGTGTGAGCCATTGTGCCCAGTTTCAGAAATTAGTCCATTACCACGGCGGGGACCATGGCGGCATTCAGGCAGACATGGTGCTAGAGAAGAAGCTGAGAGCTCTCCATCCTTACCTGAAAGCTGAAAGAGAGCCTGGGCCTGGCATGAAAGCCAGGCCTCACAGCCCACCCCCAGTGACACACTTCCTCCAACAAGGCCACACCACTTAATCCTTCTAATCCTTTCTAATACTGCCATTCCCCGGTGACTAAACATTCAAATATATGAGCCGTTGGGGGCCATTATTCAAACCAACACACATATCCTAGACAGCTGTTATTTTATGAGGAAGAGGGGAGGGAAAGAAAGAAGGAAGGAAAGAGAATGAGACCCACAGACAGAGTAATCAGATTTTGGCTCAAATAGTAGGTCTGGGCTTAGGGTTTGTTTTGTTTTGCTATCTAAAGATTTATCTTTCTGTAATGTGTGGGAGTATTTTGCCTACATGTGTATCTGTGCACCATGTGTGTGCAGTGACAATGGAAGGCGGAGAGGGCGTCAGATCCCCTGGACCTGGCGTTCCAGACGGTTGTGAGTGGAGCACCCAGTGCTCGTCACCATGGAGCCATCTCTCCACCCCTCTGCCTACTGAAAAAAAAGTATATAGAGTGTGTGCATGTGGGGTGTGTGTGTGTGTGTGTGTGTGTGTGTGTGTGTGTGTGTGTGTACCAGCTTGTGTGAGGGTCAGAGGGCAACTTGCAGGAATCAATTCTCTTCTTCTATCATGTGGCTGCTGGTGAACCCAGGTCATCAAATTTAGAAGCAAGCACCTCTACCCACTGAATGATCTTGCAGGCCCAGTTGCCTAATTTTGTATTATGTTTTCTTTTTTCTTGCTGACCATTATGTATTTGTATGTGTATGTGTGTGCTTTGTGTATTGTGTATGTGTAAGTGTGTGCTTTAATTTTGTTTTGACATAGGTCTCATCATGCTGCCTAATCTGTCTCAGACTTTGAAGCTTTTTGAAAAACTAAATTTACATAATTAGATTAGCACAGAGAGGCAGTCTGTTGTAGGCAGAGTTTTCCTGTCCCACAGCCACTCTCAAATAACCAGCAGCCACTTCCCAAATAACTGACTCGGAGACTTAATATAGATTATAAATGCTCAGCTGGTAGCTCAGGCTTGTTACTACCTAACTCTTAGATTAACTCACTTGTTTTGTTTTTTGTTTTTTGGAGACAGGGTTTCTCCGTGTAGTTTTGGTGCCTGGAATTCATGCTGTAGACCAGGCTGGCCTCGAACTCACAGAGATCAGCCTGGCTCTGCCTCCTGAGTGCTGGGATTAGAGGTGTGCACCACTGCCACCCAGCCTAACTCACATTTTTTAATCTATGCTTTGCCACGTGGCTCATGGCTTGTTACCTCATTTTCTACACATCCTGCTTCCTTGGCAGCTGGCTGGCGTTTCCTTTGACTCCACCCTTCCTCATCCCATCATTCTCAGTTTGGTTTTCCCACCTAACTTTATCCTGTTCAGCCATTGGCCAGTCAGCTTGTTTATTAAACCAGTCATAGCGACATACATTCACACAGTGTACAGAAGGATTATTCCACAGCAGTCTGTCATTTCTGATCTTTTACTCATGGAGCCACGAAGCTCCCAGCAAATGCTCCACATTGACTGAATGACCCTTCCCATGACCTTTCCTCTGAGGTGTTTCTCTGTGCGGTCTCCCTGGGGCTCACAGTATTTTGGCTTCTGGTGAGTCCTGTGAGGCCCTGTAGGCTGCATGCAAAGGAACTGGTCAAACCTGCCAGGCACCTTTCTAGCTGTAGTTCTCAAGGGGCTTAAACATTTTCCCTGGACCGCTGACATCATTATTCCCATTCACAGTGAGGAAACTGCAATTTGAGGCAGGGCTTTGCCCATGCTCACACAGCTATCAGAGCTGGGATGCAAGCCTGTGAGTGCAACTTTTCCTGCTGCCTCTAGCACGCTCTTTCCTAGGGGAGGCATGGCTGCATACATACAGCTCCTCTGTTATTAACTAACCCAACAAGTATTGGGGCAGCTACCATGTGCCATGCCAAGGTCACAACACTTTCTGGTCTTGCTAGGTAGCTTAAGCTAACCAAGATCTCCCCATCTTCCTACCTCAGCTTCTCCAGTGCTAATGTCACAGGCAGGCTTTCAACCAACTATGGCTTCTTTATTTATTTACTTACTTACTTATTTACTTATTTCTCTTTCTTTTCCAGAATCTTTCCATCGCCCTTCATTTCCAACCTGGACCAGTTTACTTCCATTAAGCAGCTGATACCAGACTTAGTGATGATGCTTGATTAGTGTAAGGCACTTTAGTCCAGAACTCCTGGACTCCAGTTATCCTCCTGCCTCAGTCACTAGGCCCAGCCCCAACAAACCTTCTATGTAAAAACTGTTATTTCCAATTTACTGACAAGAAAACTGAGGCCCAGAAAGGTGACGTGACCTGTTTAAACCACATGGTTCTCAGAGCTGATGTGGATCTGTTCCTTTTTTATTGGTGGGCTATCTCTTCCTAAAGGGAGGGATTTTTTAAAATAACTTTTATTATTTAATTAAAAATTTCTTGCCAGGTGGTTGTGGCACATGCCTTTGGGAGGCAGAGGTAGTTGGATCTCTGTGAGTTCAAGGCCAGCCTGGTCTACAGAGAGTTCCAGGACAGCCAGAGCTACACAGAGAAACCCTGTCTTGAAAATTAAAAAAAAAAGTGTTTTGCCTTCGCATATGTATATCATATGCATGCCTGGTGCTCACGGAGGCCAGAAGAGAGAACCAGATCTCCTGGGGTTACAGTTGATTGTGAGATGCTGTGTGGGTGTTGGGAATCGAACCTGGGGCCACTGGAAGAGAAGCCATGCTTTTCATCACTGAGCTATCTCTATAGCCCAGTGGTTCTCAGCCTTCCTAACGCTTCGACCCTTTAATACAGTTCCTCATGTTGTGGTGACCCCAACCATAAAAATTATTTCCATTGCTACTTATAACTGTAATTTGGCTATTGTTATGAATTGCAATATAAACATCTGTGTTTTCTGATGGTCTTAGGCAACCGATGTGAAAGGGTTACTCAACCTCAAAGGGGTCACGACACACGGGTTGAGAACTACTGCTCTAACCACTTGAGGCTTTTTGTTTTGTTCTGTTTTTTTGAGGCAGGACCTCACTATGTAGCCCTGGCTATCCTAGAACTCACCATGTAAACTGGGTCTCACAAAGAGCTCAGCCTGTTTTTATGGCCTGAGTGCTAGGATTAAAGGCATGGGCCACCATGTCCCACAAGAAAGGGATTTTAAAATGTACAGTGGAGGGGCCAGTGAGACAGCTCAAGAGGTAAAGGTGGTGACTGCCAAGACTGACAACCACAGTTTGATCCCCAGGTCCCACGTGCTAGCAGGAAAAAACCAATTTTGTCAAGTTTCATCTGATCTCGACACATAGCTATGGCACCATGCACCCACATCCCCCATGCTATAAATAAATTAATAGTTTAGTTGGTAAAGTCCTTGCTGTGCTACCAGGAGGACCCTAGTTCCACCCCAGAACCCATGGAGAAAAGCAGGGCATGGTGGCATGTGCTTGCAATCCCACAGTTGGGAGGCAGAGACAGGCAGATCCCTGGGACTTGCTAAGCTATCCAGTCTCCCTACATGGCAGCTTCCAGCTCAGGAAGGGGGGACCACAACAACAAACACCCATGGTGGACTGTGACTTAGGAAAGACACCTGAGGATGGCCTCTGGCTTCCACATGCGTGCACACACATGCACACACTGTTTGGAGGAATGCTTCACAGTCCTTTGAGAGGGCCGCCTCTTGTCATCACTACATGCTGACTGGAATGTTCACATTGCCCTACAACTTTAGAAATAGGAGTTAATTCTCATCTCCATTTCCTGGATGATAAAATGAAGGACAGTAGAGGAGACTGAAGAATGGTGTGCCCTGCCTAGAACTCCCTTGGCCTCCAGCTGCCAGGCTCAGCCTGTCATCTTGAATGCTGTCTTTTCTAAATTTTATTTTTTATTTTTAAATCTTATTTACGTGTATATGTGTTTAGCCTACATATATGTCTGTGTACCACATGCATAGTTAACAGAAGGGTGTGAGCCACCATGTGGGTCCTGGGAATTGAACCTGGATCCTTTGGAAGAACAGTCAGTGGTCTTAACTGCCAAGCCATCTCTCCAGCTCTATTTTTATTTTTTATCTGTGTCTGTGTGTGTGTGTGTGTGTGTGTGTGTGTGTGTGTGTGTGTGTGTGTGTATGTGTGACATGTGTGCAGGTGCCCATGGAAGCCATTGGCTTCAGGCTTCGGATCCCACAGAGTTGGAGTTGTAGGTGGTTGTGAGCAACCTGACACGGGTGCTGGGAACTGAACTCGGGTCCTCTGCCAAAGCACAGCACGCTCTAACCTCTGAGCCATTTCTCCTGACCCATTAATTTTTTTTTAAAGTTACATTTATTGTATGTGTGTGCGTGTGTGTGCATTCACTACGGCACGCAAGAGGAGCTCAAAGGACTACTTGCAGGTGTCCGTTCGCTCCTTCCATCACGTAGGTAGGTCCCAGAGAGAGAAGTGAGGTTGTAAGGCTTGGCGGCAAGCGCCTTTACCCGCTGACCCACGCCCCTGAAGCTCTCATTTCTGAGTCCTGAAGGATTCCCAGACCGTCTGGAAAAGACAGATCCGGAAGCAGTCGCGCCGCCGGTAGTAGCGTCCTCTGTTGCTAGGACACCTCCCCGGAAGTGGAGCTCTCTCGGCCGACTGGTTGTAGTAAAGGGACCAGGCCGGGTCCTGTGCGCCGTGGGCGTGGCCGCGCGTGGAGATTGCGCACGCGCAGAAGGGCGCGACGGTGGAGCATCGGGGCGGTTTAGCTCCTGCTGCCCAGTCCCGGCCTGCACCTCTAAGCTCAGCATCCCTCTTCGGAACTCCTGGGACTTGCTTTATGCCGTCCGATTGCTGTAATTGCATCGTAATCCTTATCGGCTAGTCCAGGCTCGCGGGCTCCTAGGCTTTCAGTGCATTCGCAGTCTGTATTGTTTGCGGTGGCATCTGTTGTGAGGTGGGGGAAGGTTGGGGGCGCCGCACCTGTGCCGGGAGCTCAGGGCAGCTCCACTCGCTCCTTGTGCGAGACTACATCCGGCCGAAGTGTTGCTGTCTTTGCTAGAGGGGGGGTTCGGGAGTGGTGGTCCTCTGTGGAGTAGCGGAGGCTTTGCAGGGACTGCGTCCTCAACTGGAAGTATAGCGCTGCAAACCGAGTTGGAATTGGTAAAGCAGGCAAATGTTTGTTCAGGAAACATTTAATGCACATGTTACAGTGCTGGCATGTATGTGACAGCACAAAGAGAGGCCCCGATCTGCTCTTAAGGAATTGGAGACACTGGTAGACAGCCACTTTGGGGCATGGCACTGGCAACCGATGGTGGTGTGGAGAGGAATGCTGGTCACGGGTGTGCAGTATTATATACTATTTTCTTTTTTTAAACTCCTTACTAGCTAGCCTTCTTGGAGCTGTGGGTTGCAGTCTGGATATCCTTTGCTTTGTATCTAGTATCCACTTATGAGTGAGTATATACCATGTTTGTCCTTCTGGGTTTGGGTTACCTCACTCAGGATGATATTTTCTAGTTCCATCCATTTGCCTGCAAATTTCATGCTGTCATTGTTTTTCTCTGCTGATTAGTACTCCATTGTGTATATGTACCACATTTTCTTTATCCATTCTTCAGTTGAGGGGCATCTCGGTTGTTTCCAGGTTCTGGCTATTACAAATAATGCTGCTATGAACATAGTTGAGCATTTGTCCTTGTGGTATGATTGAGCATTCCTTGGGTATATGCCCAAGAGTGGTATAGCAGAGTCTTTATTTAAATTGATGATTGATTAATTGAGACAGGGTTTCTCTGTGTAGCAGCCCTGGCTGCCCTGGAACTCATTTTGTAAACCATGCTGGCTTTGAACTCACAAAGATCCTCCTGCCTCTACTTCCCGAGTGCTGGAATTAAAGGCATGTGTCACCACGCCTGGCTTCATTATTTAATTTTTCAATTATGTATATATGTGTATGTGTCTTGTGAGGGTGTGTGCATGCCAGTGCAGGTACCAGTGGAGGCCAGAAGAGGGCGTATGGGAGCCCTTGGAGCTGGAGTTACAAGAGGTTATGAGCTGCCTGACATGAATGCTGGGAACCAAACTTGGGTCCTCCGCAAGAGCAGTGCCCACTTTTACCGCAGAGCCGTCTCTTCAGCCCCTTAGTTCTATTTCCTCAGAGAGAGCTTTTTTTCTACCTTTCATTGAAACTTTGTTGCAAAAGAAGCTAGAAACTGGGAATCCTGGTGTTGTTGGGACTTCACCAATACTGATTTGTAAAAAACGTCCAAGTGTGGGAAGCAGAGAGGGTCCTTGTTTTCTGAGGCTGGACACAAAAGGGTGATGAGACTGGTAAGATGTCTTCTGCTTGCTGTTCCCAGGAAGGCTGTCTTGACTCCTGTGTCTGGGGCTGTAATCACAGCAGGCGGTGAGGCTCTTGGGCCTGTGTCTGTCCTCTGGGGTTGTAGGCGCACTCCAACAGGCAAGTGTTCAGAGTGTTGATCTTCCCGCAATAGCATTCTGCATGTTCCTGGAAAGCCAAGTCTTTATGGGCTCTTGTTGCTGGTCTCACAACCCTGTAGGAGGAAGACCTGCCCCCACTAGGGCTGGACTTCCTTTCATTCATTGATTGGCCTGAGTAGCACTTATTTGGTCCTATACAAAGGGAATTTATTTTTGAGTTTTATGAGAAGGCCCCATGTAACTCAGGCTAGTCTGAGTTATATAGCTCTATGCCTGAGGATGTCCTTAAAACTTCTGATCCTCCTGCCTCTACTTCCCGAGGGCTGGGATTGCAAACCTGTGCCGCCATGCCTGACGCTACTTATTTTTTTTATTATTGATCATTTATTTGTTTTTGTGATGAGGTGTATGATGCTCGTGTGTGGACACGCTTGTGCCACCACATCCGTGTGGATGTCAGAGGATGACTTTGTGGAGTCGGTTGCTTTATGTGTCTTCTGGGAATCAAACTCAAGTCACTAGACTTGTATAACAACCACTTCCACCAGCTGAGCCATTTGCCAGCCCACGTTGTTGTTGTTGTTGTTTTTGAGACAGTCTCTCTGTGTAGTCCTGGAACTCACTACATAGACCAGGCTGGCCTTGAACTCATGGAGATCTGCCTGCCTCTGCCTCCTTAAAGGCGTGTGCCACAGCACCTGGCACAGTTCATTAGGTACTTACTAAGTACCTACTGTTGCTAGACACAGTTCTGGGGCTGGGGATTCAGCAGGAGGTGTGCCATGCGTGGCTGACACACCTATGTAGAGACATACATGAAGCAGAGAAGTGGATTTCAAATTTGAGTATGTGTGAGCATCATCTGAGCGCTCCCTGGGTCCTCCTCCAGAGAATCTGAGTCAGTACATCACCAGTGGGTGAAGGCAAGGACCTCTACCCCTTCCTCCTTGGCCTCCTGTTTTCCTTTCCTTGTGCTGGGGATGAACCCGGGGGCCTCCTGCATGCCAGGCAAGTGCTCTACCACTCAGCCCCAAAAGGCTGTTTTTGTGCCCCGCTTCATGGGCTGCTGTGCTGCTAGCACGTGGCCCGTAGGCCACACCCTGAGTAAGAGCCAGACTAAGCCGGTGAGCAACATGCATGCCGGGGAGAAAATATCGTAACTCCCCATATCCGTGGTTTCACCTTCTAAGATATCAGTGCAGAAGGTTCCAAAAATAAATAAATAAATTTTTATTTAAAGATAAATAAATAAATAATGGGTGGTTTTGCTTATGTGTCTTGTGTACCATGTGCATGCAGTACCTGTGGAGGCCAGACGAGGGCGTCAGATTCTCTGATACAGAGTTAGAAAGTTTTGAGTGGCAGTGTGGGTACTGGGAACCAAACCCGGGTCCTCTACAAGAGCTACCTGTGAGTCATCTTAACCACTGAGCCATCTCTCCAACCCCAAGAAATACATGATTTTTTGAGTTGTAAATGGTCCATCATTCTGATTACTGTTACGAAGCCTTGCACTGTAGTGCCTTGTCCTGCCTGTAACAGTAAGTGTAGCCACTGTGTATATAGTCTCATCTCAGGGGTCAACCTCTGTAGCCACCTCAGCGATCAGATTGACCCTTGATCTATCACAGCGTGTCTACTCATGGTCATGGTCCTCCCAGTGTAGGAGGGGTGATGCTGGCGTTCCGGAAAGTGTTCCCTTTAAGTGAAGAAGTACAAGCTTGTCACAGATGGCGTAGATGGAAGAAGCACAGTTTATGTAGGGCTTTGTACTTACCGTAGTTTCAGGCATCAGCCAGGGTCTTGGAATGCATCCTCTGTGGACAGTGGGGGAACTATAAGTGACTGGGATATTGTCAGGAAGACTGAAGCCGGGCAGTCAGGAAAAGCTCCTCTTGGGAGAGGACATTTGAGAAGCGGCCAGGTCTGCAGGAAGAACACACGCTCCAGACGTTCGGTTTGGTGCACGTGGGATGAAAGAATGTAGGAGCCGGAGAGGGAGGGGTGTAGGGGGTGATGGGAGATGGGGCTGGGAGGTGGTGGGACAGGTAGGGCTGGGCTGGCCTTGCAGGTCATGAGCTAGTTTTACTGTGAATACCGTGGCCCAGAAGCTGGAGGCTTAGGAGCTGGTAACTTCACTTGATGTGTGTGTCTAAGAACCAGGGTTCTGGGTCGTACTAGGATGAGGGCAGCAGCAAGGAGGGCCATCAGGTGTTATTTTTATTAATTTTTATTATTTGTGTGTATGTGCCTCTCTGAGTATATGGGCATATGTGTGTGTGCAGTGACCACGGAGGTTCTTTCTTTTTTTGGTTTATTTTTTGAGACAGGGTCTCACTGTATACCCCAGCTGTCCTAGAATTCACTATGTGGACCAGGGCAACCTCAAACTCATAGTGATCCACCTGCCTTTGCTTCCCAAGTCCAGGAGTTGAAGGTACCTGGCTGTATTTTCTTTTGAGATGGGATCTCAACCCTGGCTGGCCTGGAGCTGACATATTGACCAGACTAGCCTTGAACTTGCATGGGATCTTCCTGCCCCTGCCCTCTACGTGTTAGGATGACTCACCATGGGTGGCTACTCCAAAACCTTTACCATTAAAGAGCCTGTTCTGTGCACAGTTGTTAACCAAGGTATTATTCGGCCGGTTAAGTTTTGCTCCATAACTGTAACTCAATTCTGTGTTCCCCTATGCTTCTGTCAGTGACGCTGAGAGATTCTGAGCACTCCAGGAACTGCAGAAGGACCTATGGTAAGTACTAACACTCCTGTGGCTGGGGACAGAGAATGTAAGATGTCTGGGAAGAGCACTGGGTGGTGGGTTTGAAGCTCTGACCTCCCAAGGCTCAGGCTTGCTCAGCAGGACATCACACCTACAAGTACCTGGTGTTCTGTGAGTGGCCATGCACATAAAATAAAAATAAAATCTCAGAACAATGTTTTTTTCTTTTTTCTTTTTGTTTTTCTGAGACAAGGTTTCTCTGTGTAACTCTGGCTGTCCTGGAACGCACCCTATAGACCAGGGTGGCCTTAAACTCACAGAGATTTGCCTTCCTCTGCCTCCTGCGTGCTATGATTAAAGGCCTGCATCACCACTACCTGGCAACAGTGTTTGTTTGGTTTTTTTTAATTTTTATTTATTTATGTATATGAGTGCTCTGTCTGCATGTATGTCTGCACGCCAGAAGAGGGCACCAGATCCCATTACAGATGATTGTGAGCCACCATGTGGTTGCTGGGAATTGAACTCAGGCCCTCTGGAAGAGCAGCCAGTGCTCTAACCACTGAGCCATCTCTCCAGCCCCTTGTTTTGTTTTTTAAAAGAGCACGGTTAGAATGAATGAGGTAAAGGAGAGGCAAGGAGATGGGCAGTGTGGGACAGGGAATGAAGATGCCCAGAGTAGGGTGGATGTGCAAACCCTTGCTACTTCATCAAAGGTCAGCTCAGGGGTCCACTTCCCAGAACAGCCTTCCCCAGCTGCTCTGAACAGAGGCCCCCGCCCCCCCCCCCGCCCCCCCTCCCCCCGCCCTGTAGCCCTTCACGCCTCTCCTGTGGCTCCTGACACAGGTGCCATTGGATGCTTGTGAGTGACTGTTAAATTAGCCCTGGTTGCCATAGGGGTTGAGGGATTTATGGAGGGATGGAGGCCTGTCTGTATGTGGGATGTTGACTGGTGTCTCCAACCCCTCATACTAGATGCCTGGAGCATCTCCTCCGTTCCCATTTATGGTGACCACGATGTCTCTAGACTTCACCACAAGTCCCTGGGGCTGGATTAACTCTGTCTAGGAAACACCCTTGTGAGCTTGAGCAGGGGGTGGTTGTATGTTTACGTTGCGTGGTGATGAGGGGATCCCTTTGGTCTGGGTGGGGGGATGTTGGTCGCTAGTGAAGTTTCCATGTGTAACAACACCTTGGGTCTCTTCCAGGATCATGGCAGGAAGGGTGAAGTGGGTCACTGACATTGAGAAGTCGGTGCTGATCAACAACTTTGAGAAGAGAGGGTGGATCCAAGTGACAGAGAATGAAGATTGGAATTTCTACTGGTGAGAGTAAACAGCCGTGTTTTGTGTGTGTGTGTGTGTGTGTGTTTAATTTAATAAGTTTGAGTTTTCTAAATGGATAGCCAATTGAGGTGTCTCCACCTTTTATGTTTCTTTTGTTTGTTTGTTTGTTTTGGTTTTTCGAGACAGGGTTTCTCTGTGTAGCTTTGAGCCTGTCTTGGAACTCGCTCTGTAGTCCAGGCTGGCCTCAAACTCACAGAGATCCACCTGTCCCTGCCTCCCGAGTGCTGGGATCAAAGGCGTGCGCCACCACCGCCCGGCCACCTTTTGTGTTTCTGTGTGAATAACCTGAGCTCAGTGTTTGGAACCAGTTAACTAAGGAGCTTCTGAGGCGCTGGCCGGGCCAGGGCCCGGTGACATGTCAGTCTCTCAGGGACCAGGCTGATGTGAGGAGCTGGTGGCTGGGCGCTTCCTCCAGGGTTTGTCCTCGGCAGCTTCGTCCAGCAGGGCCAGGTTTGGGGGCTTGGCCTGCACTGTGGACCACTTCACTGAGACCTTTTCCTCAGATGTCGTGTCTGCTAGGTCTCTGTTTTCTCTCGGCCAGCGATCTGCCATCTTTGTCTTTGTCCTCTTTGGGTGGCATGGTGAAGCCCAGAGCCAGTCTCCCCCCCCGCCCGCCCCACCCCCACCCCCCCCCCCCCCCCACCCCCCCCCCCCCCACCCCGCCCCATGGTTGTGGTTCAGATGTAAGCCCTCAGCCACTGCTCCAGCACCATGCCTGCCTGCCTGTTGCAGAACTTTCCACCATGATGACCATGGACTCTAACCCTCTGGGATTAATTAATTAGCAAATTAAATGCTCTGTTGTATAAGTGGCCTTGGTCAGAATGTTTTTTTACGCAAACAAAGAAAGTGACTAAGACACTCGGCACACCCTTCACCCACTGAGTTCTAGGAGAGAGGGCTGAACTGAACAGTGACTTGAAGCTGGCTTAGTAGGTGCCCAGTGAGGTCATTCATTAGACCTTCAGTGCCAGGGGAGGGCACTGAATGCCTTCCTTGTTCAGGTAAGGAGTGTTTGGAGCTTTTTTTATTTTACCTTTTAGGGGACAGGGGTTAGGAATCTCATTATTTTGCCCAGACTAGCCTTTAACTTCTGGGCTCATCCAGTTCCATCTCAACCTCCAGATAGCTGCTTCTACAGGTCTGTACTATCACAAAAGGCTTTAGAGCTTTTTTGGCTTTTTTGAGACAGGGTTTCTCTGAGTACCCCTGGTTGTCCTGGAACTTGCTTTGTAGACCAGGCTGACCTCAAACTCACAGAGATCTACCTGCCTCTGCCTCCTGAGTGCTGACTGCTGAGATTAAAGGTATACACCATCGTGCCTGACATGTGTGTATGCGTGCATGTGTGTGTGTGTATATTTATGTGCATCTGTGTTCCGACTTCCATATGTCTGTGCGAGTTCACATCAAGGCCAGAGGTCAATACCTGGAGACTTTCTCTATTGATCTCCACTTAGTGTTTGAGGCAGAGTCTCTCTCTAAACTGTAGCTCACTGATTGAGCCAGACTGTCTGGTCAGCACACCCCAGGAATCACCTGTCTCTGCCTCCTCGGTGCTAGGATCACAGATGTGCACTACCACACCTGGCTTTTTATATGGATGCTGAGGATCCAAACTCAGGCCCTCATAATTTTCACAAGTGCCCACACACATAGATATGCACAAATATACAAATATACTTGAAATTTTGTAAATAAAGTAAATTAAATAAAATAAAAGGATCCCTTAACTGCTAGAGAATGTTAGATGGAAATATTTTGGGCAAAGTGAAACCCTGTCTGGGAATTTCTTCCAAGGAAGCCCATACTATGGGGAGTGAGTTGGGGGCCAGGTTCCATGCTGTCAGCCATGGAAGCTGAGCCCTGGGCTTCTATGGCTCTGTGTGGCTGAGCTCTCCCAGAATGAGACACAAATCTGTTTTAGTCCTCACAGGCTTGCTCTGTGGGGTGGAACAGTGTTAGGAAGATAGTCCATGGAGGGAGGCCTGAGGCAGGCTGCCTTGTTTTGCTATTCAGTGGTTCCCTCATAGGTGCCAACCAACCTTCCTTCCTTCATACATTGTCCCTGTCCCTCTGTTCAGTTGATGGGGACAGTGGCTTTGGTAGAGGATTAGAAGGCACCCATTTCTAGGCTGGGGAGGTAATACCCAGTATGAAAAATTACAGAATAAGAACGAGTCCGTCGACTGTCCTCTTGAGCCCTCCCTGTGGAAGGCCCAAGAATAAGGTACGCTGATTTGGGGTCTGGAGTCGCCGTGCTGATTTTAGTGTTCGAATGTGTTTTCTGTGTTCGGATACAAATTCAGTTCCTGACATTAGCTTCTGAAAGAGTCTGTCCCACCTCGTCTGTCAGCTGTGTTAGAATAATAATCAGCCTGACGGGGCTGAAGAGGTGGCTTGGAGATTAAGAGCTCTTCCAGAGCTGGGTTTGATTCCCAGCACCCACATGGCAGCTCACAACCACCTGAAACTCCAGTTCTGTGGGATCCAGTGCCTCTTCTGACATCCCAGCATGCACCAGCCAGTGAACAGTGAGTGGACTTTACTTGGGACCTGATGCAAATGTAAAGGCATGGGGTCAAAGCCACCTCTGTCCTTCAGCCTGGCCCTGGCCCATCCCTGGATGTGCATTCCATGCTCTAGCCACGGGGTAGGCTGGTGACCAGTAAGGGCTCCCTGGAGACAGGCAGGGCTGTGAGCAGGCACGCACTCAGACACGGCTCTGAGCCCCTGTCCCTTCTGTGCCTCTGTTTCAGGATGAGTGTGCAAACCATTCGCAATGTGTTCAGTGTGGAAACTGGGTACCGGCTCTCAGATGACCAGATCGTCAACCACTTCCCCAACCACTATGAACTGACCCGCAAGGACCTGATGGTGAAGAACATTAAGAGATACAGGAAGGAACTGGAGAAGGAAGGAAGTCCTCTGGCAGAGAAAGACGAGAATGGGAAATACCTCTATCTGGGTCGGTGGCTTCCTGCTTGCCCTGGGCCCTAAGTCAGTACCTGAGTGTCTTAGTGAGCGTTTCTATTTTTGTGATAGAAATCACAACCAGGGGTTGTGTACTGCTCTTCCAGAGGACCTGAGTTCAATTCCTAGCACCCATGTCAGGTGTCTCACAACCACCTATAACTCCAGCTTCAGAGATTCTGAAGCCTCTGGCCTCCTTAAAAACCTGTGCCCAGCGGGCGGTGGTGGCACACGCCTTTAATCCCAGCACTTAGGAGGCAGAGGCAAGAGGATCTCTGTGAGTTCGAGGCCAGCCTGGTCTCCAAAGCGAGTTCCAGGAAAGGCACCAAAACTACACAGAGAAACCCTGTCTCAAAAAAACAAAACAAAAAACAAAACCTGCGCCCATATGCATATCCCCAGTATACATACACATAATTTAAAAGTAAATAAATATTTAAAAAAAAAGAAAGAAAGAAATCATGACCAAAAGCATCTTAGGGAGGAAAGGGTGTGTTTCAGTTTATAACTCTTGGGTTACAGCGCATTATTGAGGGATATCAGGTCAGGCACCTGGAGGCAGGAGCTGAAGCAGAGGCCACGGAGGAGCAGCGCTTACTGGCTTGCTTCCCGTGGTGTGCTCAGCCTGCTTTCTCATATGATCCAGGACCACCTGCTCGGGAATGGCACTGCCTATGGTGAGCTGGGCCCTCCCACTTCTATCATTAATCAAGAAAATGTCCTATAGACATGCCTACAGGCCAGTCTGATGAAAGCATTTTCTTAAGACACCCTCTTCCAGCAGGGGTGGAACACATCTTTAATCCCAGTGCTCAGGAGGTAGAAGGAGGAGGATCTCTGAGTTCAAGGCCACCCTGGTCTATAGAGCTAGTTCCAGGACAGGGCTACACAGAGAAACCTTGTCTCAAAAAAACAAACAACAACAACAAAACAAACAAAGCAAACAAACAAACAAGATTTCCTCTTCCAGGGCTGGGGAGATGGCTCAGCAGTTGCTCTTCCAGAGGACCAGGGTTCAATTCCCAGCACCCATATAGCAGTTCACAACTGTCTGTAACTCCAAGATCTGACACCCTCACACAGATATACATGCAGGCAAAATACCAATGCACATAAAATAAAAATAAATTAAAAACAAGAAAAGATTTCTTCCTCTTCCCAGATATGTCTAGGTTTATATCAAGTTGACAAAAACTAACCAATACACTGAGTGAATCATTTCAGGAACACAAGGCATTGGTGGCTGGCTTTGCCAGGTGAATGGGTTGGCAGGTTCTGTGGGCATCTGTTTTACCTCTGGTGTGTCTCCAGTGGGTTGGCAGAGCTGAGCTTGGTTTGGACTCTTGAGTTTCTGTGATCATGGAGTTGCTGAGAGACAGACTTAGTATGGACAAGGATGTGCCCAATGCCACTACCCTCTTAAGCTACACTCAGGGATGGTGTGTATTGCATGAATCCTAATTGGTTATATAATAAAAAACCCAGAGCCAGATATTGGGGTAAAGCTGAAAGATCAGAGAGACAAAGGAACAAGCCACTAGAGAAACTTCTCACCACTACCAAATCCTCAGGCCGAAAGGGAGGCGAGATCCTGTCTCTGAGAATCCTCAGACTGAATGCCACTGAGTCCTCAGCCAAAAGGGCACCAAACTCCTGTCTCCTCCTGCCTTATATGCCTTTCTCAGCCCAGCCACATCACTTCCTGTCTCAACCTTCTTAGTGCTGGGATTAAAGGCGTGTGACTCCCAAATACTGGGATTAAAGGTGTGTACCACCACTGCCTAGCTCTGTTTCTCTTTTAGACTGGATTGATCTCGTATAGTCCAGGGTAGCTTTGAACTCACAGAGATCCAGATGGATCTCTGCCTCCCAAGTGCTAGGATTAAAGGTGTGTGCCACCACTACCTGACCTCTATGGCTCACTCTGTGGCTGTCTCTGCCCTCTGAGCTTCAGGCAGACTTTGTTTAGAGTACAAACAAATATCACCACAGGTGTGTGTCCCTGGTCTACCAGCTGCTTGGCAGTTCAGGATCCCACACCAGAGCAGAATGCAAAAAAAATTTTTTTGAGATTTTATTTATTTATATTTTTTATTATATGGTGGTTTTGTCTGCATGAATATCTGTGTGCCACCTGTGTGCAGTGCCCATGGAGACCAGAAGAGGGCATTGGATCACCTGGAGCTAGAGTCACAGATGGTTGTGAGCCATTATGTGGATGCTGGGAATAGAACCCTGGTCCTCTGCAAGAGCAGCCAGTGTTCTTAATTTCTGAGCCATCTTTGCAGGCCCTGGGCAGAATTTTAGCACCAGTTTCTCTGGCCTGTTTCCCCATCTGCTATGTGGGGATGGTAGCTGCCTAGCAGACAGCTTACATGGGGTTTAAGTGATGTATGTTTGTAAAGTTCTGTGTGCACAGCTCAAAGGGTCCCTTCTTAGTATACACAGGAACGGGACAGCAGCAGTCCTGTCCTGTAGGTTCAGGGTTGAGGTGACAGGGTGCTGAGGAGCCCTGACCCCAGACGGGCAGCTGCTTATGGCAATGGGTATCTTTTCTTCAGACTTTGTCCCCGTCACCTACATGCTCCCCGCTGACTACAATCTGTTTGTGGAGGAGTTCCGGAAGAGCCCATCCAGCACCTGGATCATGAAGCCTTGCGGCAAAGCCCAGGGGAAGGGCATCTTCCTTATCAACAAGCTCTCACAGATCAAAAAGTGGTCCCGGGACAGCAAGACGTCCTCGTGAGTTGACAGGAACCCCCCCCCCCCCCCCCCCCCCCCCCCCCGAACTGCATGCAAGGTTCCTGTTAGCTGCGTCCTGCTGTCCTGTAGCCCCAGTCACGGGCGGGGCAGCCCTTCCTTACCTGCTTTTCCAGCTGTGAACTTGTTATGGGGCCCCCCCAGCGGGGCCCTATGGCTGAAGACATGTAATTAACCCCAGATTTCCCTATTGTAAGCCATGGGGGGGGGGGGGGGCACGTGATATCGGTCCTGGGCATGGCCTTGCAGGCCACTCGGTTCCCAAGCTGGTTGAGGCAGACACAGTTGTGACAGTGAGGCACATGCTTCAAAGCTGGCGGCCCAGTCCATGCCTCTGCTTCTGTGTCTGAGGGAACTGAGAACAGTAACCACTCCTGTCCTGGGGGAACAGGTCACCCGATAAAGCCCGGGGGAGAGGAAGGGTGCCCTGCTGGGGGCACCTGAGTGGACAGCAGGGTGATTGGCAGGTGGAGTCTAATGTACCCCCCTGTGTTTGCTAGCTTTCTTCTGTCCTTGAGGAGTCCTAAGCTGCTTGGCGATGCCTGGAGACCCTGGAGCAAAGCCTCAGTATGATAATTTCCCAGAGTGGCAGAGGACTCTTCTTGTATAGGGTGTTTCAGTCTGATTACACTTTGCTCCAGGATCCTCCTTGGGTGGGTTCCCAGGGGGCTGCCCTGCAACTCTTGCCGTGGCTTCTAGCTGAGATATCCTCCATGGTCCCACCCCTAGACAGGTGCACACACGGGCTTTATCCCTTGTGTCAGGGTTCACTCTTGGTTTGGCCATTCTGTAACTCTGGACAGTGTATGGTGATGCTTCAACCCCCACAGGGTCATGCAAAGCAGTTTCGCTGGGCTGGTAGCCTCTGCCCACCCCCCACTTCCGGCCCATCATCCCCCTTTCGGGCCCGTCCTCAGGCAGTGGCTGCTCTTCTTACCGAGTGGATAGTCCTCCCTTTTCAGAGTCATCCGGCTAGAATCACGCAGTATGGGGCCTTTTCGGGTTGGCTGCTGTCACTTTTAAGGGTCCCCCTAAGTACCTGGCGTACATTATGCCATCCGGCTTGTGCACTCATTTCTTTCCGCCACTGAATAAATCGTTCTGTTACCTGACAGTTTACCCACTCACCTACTGAAGGCCGCCTTGATGGATGGCACGTCCGGCAGCTGTGACTGAGGCTGCCGTAAGCATCACTCTGCAGGGCTTGCGTGTGCGTGTGCGTGTGCGTGTGTGTGTGTGTGTGTGTGTGTGTGTGTGTGTGTGAGAGAGAGAGAGAGATCAGATCCTCAGCTCCTTTGGGTGAATGCCAAGGAATGTATCACCACACCCAGCTGTACACAGATTTCTAATTTTAATGGCTGTCTCAGTTTGATTTCTGACAAAAAACAACCCCAGAGGGGGAGCTAATTGATTTTAGCTCTCACTTCCAGGTTACATTCCATCACGGGGACGTCAAGGGGGGCAGGAACTTGGAACACCTATTTACATCACACCCACAGTCGCGAGTGGAGAGAAATTAATATAAGCATGCCCTCTACATGATGCTTTCTTCATCATGTAGCTCAGGATCCCTGGCCTAGGGGATGGTGTTGCTCCCTGTAGACTGTATTCCCACATAATTAAGGTAGTTCCCCTACAAAGGGCTGGAGAGACGACTCAGTGGTTAAGAGTCCTTGCTATTCTTGCAGAGGACCTGGGTTAAGTTCCCAGAACCAACATGGCGGCTAACAACTGTATGTAATAACTCCAGTTGGAGGGGATCTCATATCTCTTCTGACCTCCACGGGAAAAAAAAAAAGACAGTTAGCCACAGACATGCTCACAGGCCAATCAATGTAGAGAGTGCCTCCCTGAGACTCTTCCCAGCTGATTCTAGGTTGTGTGAATTTGATGATTAAAGCTAACCGGGCTGGAGAGATGGCTCAGCTGTTAAGAACACTGGCCGCTTTTCCAGAGGACTCAGGTTTGAGACCCAACCACATGACCGCTCACAACTGTAACCCCGGTTCCCCCATGGTACTGCATGCATGTGGTACGCAGACATACATACAGACAAAACACCCGTACACATTAAATAATTAATTAAAAAAGAAAGCAAACCGGCTAGGCGGCGGTGGCGCACTTTGATCCCAGCACTCCAGAGGCAGAGCCAGGCGGATCTCGGTGAGTTTGAGGCCAGCCCGGTCTACAGAGCGAGTTCCAGGACTGGCTCCAAAAACTACACAAAGAAACTCTGTCTCGAAAAATAAAAAATAAATAAAAAAGGAAAGCAAACCATCACAGTGGCCAGCAAGTTATCACTTCTCCCCTTTGCAAGCGGTGCCTTTAATCTTGTATCTTTTACAGCCTAATTGTGACTCTCTCTGATGTGTGTAGGTTTGTGTCTCAGTCCACAAAAGAAGCTTACGTGATCTCCCTCTATATCAATAATCCATTACTCATCGGTGGGAGGAAGTTTGACCTGCGGCTGTATGTCCTGGTATCCACGTACCGCCCACTGCGCTGCTACATGTAAGAGTCTGGCCCTGCTTCCGTCGGGCTCACTTCACAGTGTTACTTCGAGGCTTAATGACTCAGTGACATGGGGGGACACCCAGCAGCGCCTGGCTCAGCGTGGGTATCAGATGGGTAGCTCTTGTTTAAGAGCAGTTGACCCAGAAGCTACTGTAAATCTTACAAATAAGAATACCACTCGTTGGGACATTTGAAGCAAGTGGGGTGGGGTGTGTACACCTCTAACCCCAGCACTCAGGAGGTGGGGATGGGAAGGTCGTGAGTTTGAGCTTAGCCTGGGCTGCATAGTGAAACCCAAAGCAGTGGATGCTGCCAGCCACTCTTCTGTCGAGTGGGCTGGTGTGTTTCCTCTCTCGTGTCCTGTGTCTCAGTCTGAGTTCCTTTGCAGGTACAAGCTTGGCTTCTGCCGTTTCTGCACGGTGAAGTACACCCCAAGCACCAGTGAGCTGGACAACATGTTCGTCCACCTTACCAATGTAGCCATCCAGAAGCACGGGGTGAGTGTCTCCTCTTTGTGCATCAGGAAGTGGCCTGGCTTTGTGGGATTCTCTCTCATATGTATGTGCAAGAGGGGACCAGGCTAGTTCTAGGAGAGCCGTTCACAACCCAGTGGCCCGAGGCCCAGGCCACTGAAGGGACTCGGAGTAGCAGGTGTGACTGTCCCAGGCACATTATCCGAATGCCTGGTTAGGGTTGGAATAGAAGTGGGGGTTCCTAGAGAAACAAGAGTGTAGGTTCAGGCCCCCCCTTTCTGCTTCTGGGATCGTGGGCGAGTCGGCTCAATGCTGGAGCCTCCTTTAGTACAAGCAGGAGACCTTGACCTGAGATGGGTCATATCCTGATAAACCTCAGTTGGTTATTGTGCTGAAATTGGCCTTAGGACCTGGTGCACTGGTGCATGTTGGGTAAGCCCTCTACCACTGACCTATCTTCCCAGCCTCCTAGCCTCTTCTTACTTTGAGACAATGTCTCACTAAGTTGCTCATGCTGTAGCCCAGGCAGGTCTTGGCTTGGAATTCCCCCTGCCTAGGTATCTGAGTAGCTAGAGCTATAGACAGGCACCAACCTGTCTTTTATTATTATTATTATTTCTTTTGTTTGTTTTGGTTGGTTGGTTTTTCAAGACAATCTTCCTTTTTTTAACCTTTGCTGTCCTGGAACTCTGTCCATAGACCAGGCTGGCCTCAAACTCAGAGATCCACCAGCCTCTGCCCCCCAAATCTGGGATTAAAGGCATGCACCACCACTGCCCAGCCTATTATTATTGTTTCTAATGTGTATGTATGTATGTGTGTCTGTGAGCACAGGCATGTGTGTGTAGGTGCCCACAGAAGCCAGAAGAGGGTATCAGATTTTCTGCAACTGGAGTTACAGATGATAGTGAGTCACCACTCAACATGATGATTGCTGGGACCCAAACTTGGGTCTTCTGGAAGAGTAGCAAGTGCTCTTAATCACTGAGCCATTTTTCCAGCCCCTAACCCTGTCTTAAAGTGAAAATACTGTAGGTCGAAAATGTATTCAGTTCACCTAACCCATTGAACATCATAGTGTGTGTGTGTGTGTGTGTGTGTGTGTGTGTGTGTGTGTGTGTGTGTGTTGCTTCATGCAGCCCTTTTGAATGGCAAAGCACTTCCTTTTTTGAAACTGCAGCTTGAGCCTTGTGGGAAAATTTTCCACAGCTCCGCATTAGAATTAGAAAGGGAACAGCTGTCACTCTGAGCACTGGAAAGCAGCCCCTCCTGGCGAGAGCAGGAGTCAGTGTGGCCAAGGACTGGCTGTCACAGAAGCCCAGGAGCCTCTGCTGTGCAGGGAGGGTTCACAAGCAAGGGGATGGGTCATGGTTGCTGCGGGCCTGGAAGGGACAGGCTTAGCAAGCAGAGAAGGAAGAGCCGGCCGGGCCTGAGGCTGCGACACCTGCAGGCTGGTGGGATGAGATGTTCTGAGGCGACCGAAGCCTAGGTGACATGCTTGCTTTTCACGTCCACATCTGTGGTATCTGGCTGGAGATACTTGACCCCTCAAGACCCTTTCTTTTTTTTTATCAATTGTTCTTAAAATTATACATTACTGATTTAGGCATTTTAATGTTTTTGTTGTTATTGTTGGGTTTTGTTTCTTCCCTTCTTTCTTTCTTTCTTCCTTCCTTTCTTTCTTTCTTTTTTTTCCTTATTTTTCGAGATAAAGTCTTGCCTTAGCTGTCATGGAACTTCCTTTGTAGACCAGGCTGGCCTGGAACTCATAGAAATCCGCCTGCCTTTGCCTCCCAAGTTCTGGGATTAAAGGAGTGTACTACCATGCCCAGCCTTCTTTGTTTCAGTTTTTGAGATTGACTCTATATTTGTCCTAGTTAGGGTTACCATTGCTGTGATGAAATACCATGACCAAAAGCATTGACCTAGAGCAGCTTCCGGGGAGGGAGAAATGACTACCTTGGTCTGGAAGGGGACCCAGGTGGGACTTCACAGTGTGGGCTCCTGAGTGGGAACAGTTGCTTATGAGACTAGTAGGGAGATGAACATCTAACAATGTGTGTAGTAGATGGCACAGACCACCCTGGGCAGGGGTTCCTTCTGTCTTGCTACAGGATAGCTGTTCATACCCAGGAGGCACTTGAGGGTAAGTGGCTGGGTTCCTCCAGGCTGTGTCCTGAAGGTCGCTTCCTCCCTCCCTCACCAGGAGGACTACAACCATATCCACGGTGGCAAGTGGACTGTCAACAACCTGCGACTCTACCTGGAGAGCACCCGAGGCAGAGAGGTGACCAGCAAACTGTTTGACGAAATCCACTGGATCATCGTGCAGTCTCTCAAGGCCGTGGCGGTGAGTGACAGGTTGGGAGCAGGGCAGGTGGGCCCTGAAAGCCCAATGGGAGGCCCTGGTCTAACCAGTGGTTAGGAAGTGTTCTACAGCCAGGAGTACTTCTGTTCACTCATCCTGCCTATGTGTCAGCCAGGGCTGAAACAGTTTTGGGAAGGGATTGGGGCCAATTTCTGGTGAGCGTGGCCAGCCTCTGATATGGACAGAGACCCTGAAGCCTCAGCAGAAGTATAGAGTCCCAGGACTGGAGAGATGGCTCAGGGGTTAAGAGCACTGACTACTCATCCAGAGGACCCAGGTTCAATTCCTAGCACCCACATGGCAGCTCATACCTGTCTGTAACTCCAGTTTCAGGGGATCTGACACCCATGGCACATTAAATAGATAGATAGATAGATAGATAGATAGATAGATAGATAGATATTAAGAAAGAAGTATAGAGCCCCATTGACATCATCTCTTTTTCCTTCCTTTCTTCCTTTTTTGAGATATGGACTCACAGTGTAGCCAGGGTTGGCGTGGAGAAGGTTACCAGGGTGGTCTGGAGCGCACAGAGATAGCCTGCCTCTGCCTCTCCACCATCAGCCCTTCTTGGTGGGTGTTTCGGCATGAGCTGATACTCCTTGGGGGATTCGGCAGCGGTAGCGGCGGCCTTCTTTTCAGGCAGCGTGTTGTTGCTGTTTCCTGGCTCTTGAAGGTTGGAGACCTCCTGCTTCTGTTCCTGACCTCAGGTCTTTGCTTTGCTGGATTACAGTTTTCAGGCAGGCACACTTCTGTCTTTGAGGGATAGGAGTAAGTGGTGTGCTGGCCCCTATTTTCAGGACTTTACAGATGGTGTCTCTGGGGTGTCTCTGCTTCCCCACATAACTCACAAGAAAATGGGGGGTCTGACCCCAGAGCTAAGAACAGAGGAAGAGGCTCCTATCCCAAAGCCAGCCTCCTTGTCTCCCATGCCCTTTCTCAAGAGGAACAGGAAGGCAGCCAGCCCACTGCTGAGGTCACTTGCAAGACCCGGAGTTCCTCAGCTCGCCCTCTGAGGGCAGTATGGTCTAGCCTGCTACTGAGCTGGCCCCTGACAGACCCACCCACTTGTGTGGGACCTGAGGACACAGGCCTGGGGACATGGATAATATGTCTCCATGGAGATGTGAGAGATGCAAAATTCCCAGGTTGCACCCATCTTCCTTCCCGAGAAGAGCCACCCTGTGCACAAATTTGCCTCACAGAAGGGGCGTTTCTCCTGGCCCTCAGCTCAGCGGGCGAGCCTGCTGCTGCCTCTGGTGTCCATTTGACTCTTTGCCTGGGTGGTGATTCTCAAGCTTTCGAAGGAGGCAGGGTTTTTTGTTTTGTTTTAATTTTTTAATCATGTGTAGGTGTGTGTGTGTGTGTGTGTGTGTGTGTGTGTGTGTGTGTGTGTGTGTGTTTGTGGGTATGTGCATGTGAGTGCAGGTGCCCACAGAGGCATTGGATCCCCTGAAGCTAGAGTTACAGACAGTTGTGAGCTGCCTGACATGTGTTCCAGGAGCTGAACTAGGGTCCTCTGGAAGAGCAGTGCTCTGAGCCGTCTCCCCAACACCTGGTCCTTTGTTCAGTATGCATGGAAACTTTATTTAAGGTATATTTAAGTGAATTGAAAATTACAATGGAAATCTAAAAATTGAAAGGAATAGGCTTTTTTTTTTTTTTTTTTTTTTTTTTTTTTTTTTTTTTTGGTTTTTCGAGACAGGGTTTCTCTATGTAGCTTTGCGCCTTTCCTGGAACTCACTTGGTAGTCCAGGCTGGCCTCGAACTCACAGAGATCCGCCTGGCTCTGCCTCCCGAGTGCTGGGATTAAAGGCGTGCGCCACCACCGCCCGGCTGGAATAGGCTTTCTTTTCTCATTGGAAACAGGTTTATAATCTGGTTTTTACAGGGCTGGGAGGAATAAGAAAAAGCCTGCTGGTGTGGGGGCGGGGGCAGGGTGTCATCAATGTGGGAGGGTCCCTTTGGTCCCTGAAGATGTAGCTTTACATTTATTTGTTTGTTTGGTTTTGGTTTTGTTTTTTGAGACAGGGTTTCTCTGTGTAGTCCTGACTGTCCTGGCACTCACTCTGTAGACCAGGCTGGCCTCGAACTCACAGAGATCCACCTGTCTCTGCCCCGTATCCGAGTGTTGGGATTAAAGGCATGTGCCACCACTGTCCAGCAGGATATGGCTCTATAACCTGTTGGTCACTCCACAGCCAGTGATGAACAATGACAAGCACTGCTTTGAATGCTACGGCTACGACATCATCATCGACGACAAGCTGAAGCCCTGGCTGATCGAGGTAACTCACAACCCTGCCGCCGTGGCCAGCAGTGCCGTGGGAGAAGGGAACGTTCTTACCGTTCTCTAGTGTGTGTTAAAGCATAATTTGGAGGTGGATCCAGCTGCCTCTTGAAGCGGGTGTAGTGTGGCCAATCTAGAAAGGATGAGATAGATGTACACGTCCTGCCACGTAGCTACGCAGCGGGGCTTTTTCTTGGCCACAGCCACTGTGTTAGTTACTTTTCTCGGCACTGTGATCAAATACCTCACAAACAGTTTCAGGGGAGTTTTATTTGGTACATGGATTGAGTATATAAGCCATCATGGTGGGGAAGCATGGTGTGGGGTGAATGAGGCGGCCACTCACATGTTCCCAGAGTTGACGTGGAGCGAGATGAGTGCTGGTACTCCACTGGCTTCCTTCTTCCTTCAGCCTAGGACCTCGCCCCTGGGACGGTGCCACCCACAGCCAGGGTGGGTCTTCCTTCCTAAGTTAAACCTCTCTGGAAATACCCCCAGAGTTACTCTGAAGTGTGTCTCCTAGGTGACTGCAAATCCCATCAGGTTGATGAAGATGAACTATCACAGCCTTTTCAGAGAGGTGGGCACTGGTGCCCTTGTCTGAGGCCACAGTTGCCAGGAGGACAAGGATGGAAGATGCCCTGAGCATGCAGGGGCCCCCATTGTGTTGTGTCACTCTGTGTGTCACGTGGACACCTGCCCTCTCAACAAGCTCGTTTGGAGACATACAGCTCAGGCCCTTCAGTTCATTTCAAGGCAGGAAGCCTAGGACTCTTGTGTGAAGAGTAGAGCTTGGCCCCCTACAGGGAAAGTCAGAGGGAACCTCAGTGCTGAGCTCATGGTAATCAAGCTATCTAGAGCATGATGGGAGCCTGCTAATGCTGCTGGAATGGGGGGCCAAGGGGAGACATAATACTTCCTTCCCTCCCTCCCTCCCCACCCCTTCCTTTTTTTTTTTTTATTTTGAGAACAGGGTCTTGTGTAGCTGGCTTCGATCCTCCTACGCCAAGCACCCAAGCTTCCAGGTGCTGGGGTCAGAGGTGGTGGCTTCCTGCATCTTAAATACAGTAACTTGAATGGAAGTCACACTTCCCTTGATGAACTAAGATCCTAGTTGTAGCTATCATTTTTTTCTCTCTCTCTCAAAGATTTGTTTTATTTTTCAGTGTGTGTGTGTGTGTGTGTGTGTGTGTGTGTGTGTCGGGGATGGGGGCTTTGATGGTGGGGTGGTGATGTGCACATGAATGCAGGTGCCTGCAGAGGCCAGAGAGGGCATCAGATCCCCAGAGCTGGGGTTAATAGGCAATTGTGATCCTGTCTCTTTTTTTTTGAAGATTTATTTATTACGTATACAGTGTTCTGCCTGTGTGTAAGCATACACACCAGAAGAGGGCACTAGATCTCACTATAGATGGTGGTGAGCCACCAAGTGGTTGCTGGGAATTGAACTCAGGACCTCTGGAAGAGCAGCCAGTGCTCTTAACCACTGAGCCATCTCGCCAGCCCGTGATCCTGTCTTTAAGTATTACTTATAGCTCACCCAACAGCCGATAGGAACAGATCACATGATGCCCTGTCCTAGTTTGCTTCTCTGTTGTTATAACAAAACACTAATCAAGCCGGGCGGTAGTGGCACACCCCTTTAAGTTTGAGACCAGCCTGGTCTCCAGAGCTGGACCCAGGACAGCCAAGGCTACACAAAGAAACCCTGTCTCGAAAACAACAACAACAACAAAAAAAAAAAACAAAGATAAAAACAACAAAAAAACCCACTAATCAAAAGCAATTTGAGAGGAGGCTGGCGAGATTGCTCAGTGGTTAGAGCACTGGCTGCTCTTCTAGAGGACCTAGGTTCAATTCTCAGCATCTACGTGGCAGCTCACAACCATCTGTAACTCCAGTTCCAGGGCATCCAACACCCTCTTCTGGCCTCCATGGGCACTGCACATAGATGGTGCACAGACATACCAGGAAAACACCCGCACACAAAACATAAATCAGACTTAAAAAAAAAAAGCGCACACCTTTGGGGTGGAAAGGGTTTACTCGGCTTACAGGCTGTGGTCTACCCAGCCAGTGAAGCCAAGGCAGGGACTGGAGCAGAGACACCGGCTTGCTTCCCTGGCTCGCTCGACTGCTTTTCTTATGCAGCCCAGGCCCACCTGCCCAGGGATTGCACTGCCCACCCTGGCCTGGGCTCCCCTGCATAAATAGGCTATGAAGAAAATGTTTCACAGGGCCAACAAGATGGCTCAGTGGGTGTGGAGGCCCTCGCCGGCTAAGCCTGACAACCGAGTTTGATTTCCAGGACCCACAGGAGTAAAAGTGAAGCACCAACTCCCACAGGTTGTCCACTGGCCTCCACACGTGCCCTGGGACACACGTGTGCCCACACAAACGCACACGCACATCACACAGAAAAATAAATAAATGTGTAAAGAAGAAAGTATAAAGAAAAGAAAATCCCTCGCAGACATGCCCACAGACCCCTGATATGAGCCGTTCCTCTTCACCAGGCAACTCTAGGGTATGTCAGGTTGACAGCTAACTCTGGCGGCTTCCCATATGAAGTGCTTGGCAGGTGTGAGGTGTCCACGTTAAATGATGGCAGGCGCCTGGAGCGCGGGGCCCACACTGGCTCCAGCACCTCTCCTTCCAGAGAAAGGAGCGCCACAGTGAAGGATGTGTGTTTCTCTTCTCGTAGGTTAACGCATCCCCGTCTCTTACCTCCAGCACCGCCAACGATCGAATCCTTAAGTACAACCTGATCAACGACACCCTCAACATCGCGGTCCCCAACGGCGAGATCCCCGACTGCAAATGGAACAAGTCTCCTCCCAAGGAAGTTCTCGGCAACTATGAAATCCTGTAAGTCTGCGCGTGGCTCTGCAGGGGTCCCGTGTTCTGAAGTGCCCTTTGGCTATTCTGGGTATCTGGGGGGGGCTCACTTTTCTTGAGCAGTGTGTCTATGCGTTGATGCTATGAGGGGTAGCTGTTGAAGAGACAGAAAAGAGGTTTGGGTCTGTTCTGTGTAGCCGGTACTTAGGAAGCATCTGTCACATGCTCAGGCAGGTGTGAGCCCACTGCTCTGTCTGTCACCTCTGCAGGGTGTGAGGTGCTGGGGCAGGGTGCACACAGTCCGGGGCTCGTACCCTACCTCCTCCTGTGTAGCTTTGTGCCAGTGAGGTGCTCAGTATCGCTCTGTGGGCCTCAGTCCAAACACGGGAGGTTGGGAAGGACAAAGTGATTCTTACGGCTCCCCTCTAGACAGGGCTTCCCGTGGGCTAGGATCCGTGGCCAGTGCTGTAGGCACTCCATCCTATTCCTTTACCCTGCGCCCTGGGAGCTGAGTAGTAGCTTGGCTCTGCCTTACAGATTGGAGACAAATGGACCTATTGGGAGTGGGGGGTGGGGGTGGGGGTGGAAAATAAAGTAACAGGGATCAGGAGTTCAGTGGTGGTCAAGGTGTAGTCTGTTCTACATGGGAGACTGGATGGCCATAAAAAGATTGGCCTAGTGCTGTGTATACTGTGGCCCAGGAGGGTGAGTGAGAAAAGTAAGTTGCAGGAAAGGGTAGTTTATCGATACAGACAGTGACCTCCACAGCCCTTGTGTGCACATTAACAGTTTTTGTTTCTTTTGGTTTGCTTTTTGATATAGCATCTCACTATGTAGATCAGGCTGGCCTTGAACTTGTAGAAAACCCCCTGCCTCTGCCTTTCAAGTACTGGGTTTAGAGGTGTGTACCACCTCACCTGGTCCTGAACATAAGCATTTAATTAAAAAAATGTAAACACGGCCGGGCAGTGGTGGTGCATACCTTTGATCCCAGCACTCGGGAGTCAGAGGCAAGCAGATCTCTGTGAGTTCGAGGCCAGCCTGGTCTACAGAGCTAATTCCAGGACAATCAGGACTACACAGAGAAACCCTGTATCGAAAAACCAAAAACACTAACAATAAGTTTAAAGGAAGAGTTTAGACATGAAGGGACATTCAGTGAAAGTGCACGTTGCACTCGGCGCACCGCTGGTGGAGGATCTGAACACAGGCCTTCACTCTGGAGTCACTGTGTAGCTGCCTCCCTCCTTCCTGTGTACAGCTGCAGAGGCTGGGGTGGAGGGTAGAAGGAAGCTCAGAAGGGAAGTGAGTGGAGCTTCTGAAGTGTCAGGGCCTTAGCGGGTGGTCGTTGTGAGCCCTCAAGAGTACTGCTCAGCGTGGCTGATTGTTCTCTGGAGGTCAGCAGCCTGGGACGGGGACAGCAGCAGAGTCGGAAGCGGCCAGAGGTGGGAGCTGGCAAGGCAGGCAGGAGGAGAGTGGGCTGCTGGTGCCGGCTGGCACTCTGATGGGGATCCAGACTGGGATGGTCGGGCACTGGGGAGGTGCGCTCAGGGAACTGTCAGAGACTGAGGGGTGGTGTATGAGGCTGCGCTGGATGCAGGTGCTGACCAGGGCAGGATTGGGCTTGATGTTGTAAGAGGATGGCACTGAGATGGATGGATGGTCATCAGAAGTCAGAGGACAGGCCATGGCCATGGGAATCAACAGCAAGTCCCTGAAGGACTAGAGTTGATATATAAGGAAGGGGCCAGAGAGGGTTTCTGCTGACCTGCCTTGGAAGGGGCTGAGAGGGTCTAGAGAGGAGGCCTCTCCAGACCCAGGGGGTCTTAGAGAGAGCAAACAGTCCCCACTCCACAGGGCTCCAGGGAGAGCCAGGCTTCTTATACAGTAGGAGGTGAAGGAGAGAGTCAAAGGCTAGACAGGTGTTTCTAATGCTGAGTAGAGCGTTCCAGAGTGCACAGCATACATTTGGGGATGGGTCCTGTCCAGAGCCACTTGAGGTTGCTAGTATAGTAAGGGCAATATGAGAGTGGCCCATGTCAGCTGCAATGGGAGCCTTTGGGCTCAGTCCTGAGGGCCTCTATGGTGGAGAACCCGTGTGAGGGGGAGTCTTGCTAGAACCATGAGGGTCTTGGTGGGTCCCTCTTTAGTCTAGCAGGATATGGCGAGGAGGGTGACCCAGTGGGAGTATGTGAGGCCCTCTATTTGCAGAGCAGGCCAGATGCTCATCTCCAGAGGCCAGGGCCTCACCCCTAGTCCTGAGCTATCCCTCACACTCCTCTAAGGGACCAGAAGGCTTTGGGAACTGGCAGCCGGAAGCTCTTTTCCACTTGTCTCAGTGCCCCATGCTTCAGATCGCCCCAGGTTGGGTCCCAGTGGCAGTCGGAGTTGCTGCTGACGGGGTGGGTGGGGTTTACATCCTTGGGGTGCTGTCCTGTCCCTGTACACAGCCAGGAGTACTGCATACCACCCGTGCTCACAGCATCCCTGCAGAGCATACCCGTGTGGAGAGAAGGGGGCTGACACGCAGCTCTTGTGCCCAGGGTCACACTGCCCAGAAATGGCGCTCTCGCCACCACACCACATTGTCCCTGTGGCCTTGGTGTCACAATCATGGCCAGACTTGTTCATCCCGGCTCAATTCTAACTCTTGGCCTTTTTGAAAAAGTGCTTTTGAGAACTCAGTGCCTAGATTCCACTGTCAGAACCCAGAAGGGAAGAGGAGGAGCCCTTAGGAGCCCCCTTTCAGCTGTCTACATTAGCTCCCTAACAGGCAAGGTGCTCCCCCGGAACTGAACAGCCCGCTCCCAGCTGCCTGCCACATGCTCCGCTTTGTTTTGCTTTCAAGCCACACAGAGCCACACGGAGGCCGTGTGTGTGTGTGTGTGTGTGTGTGTGTGTCTTCCCATTCTTCCAGATCCTGCCCCTCCCCATCGTGAGCTAGTACCAGGGCAACCCCAAGCCTGACGGGCAGCCTCACTCCGCCCTCAGTCTGTGGCACAGGCACAGTACAGGCCAGAGTGTGAGCACATGGACGGCTCCTGGAGGCCAGCGTTGCCTCCTAGCAGAAGCTCTTGGGCCTCGAGGGAGCTCTCTATTCAGCTGTCTTCTATTGGAGGGACTGGCTGTGCCTCCATAGTCAGGCGAATGCTGAGGAACATCTGTTGTGTTTGCCTAAATTGTTCTAGTATTAATAAAAACTCAAGAGTCAGAAATTGAGATTAAAAACCTGATAAATCCAAGGAACAGCAGAGGTACAATTGACTGACCTGATCCCAAAGCCTCAGAAATCCCTCCTTCTCTCTTCCTGTCCCTCTCTATCAGACTTCCCCAGACTCTCCACATCTCCATGGCTAATCCTGGTCAGCCAATTGCTGGTTCCGTCTTTGATTCCAGGTGGCTTTATTGACACAGTGGAGTGGCAGCGTGAACAATTCTTCCACAACACACATCCATGTGGTGCTGTAGTTGTGACAGTCCACACCAGTGCCGAGCACAGGCTCGCCTGAGAGGAAAGCCGTCAGCACATTCGCTCCGGCACTCCCTGTGCGTCAGCCTGCTGCTGCTGCAGGCACACCGTTCAGAGAGTGTCCATCCACCAGAGGAGTCCCGAACACAGACCCCACACCACCCACAGAGTCTGGCTCTGGACCAGCACAGAAGTCAGGGAAATTCAGCTTCTGCAGCAGCAAAGCATCTTGGTACCTGTTTCTTTAGTGCGAAAGACTGCACATGACTCAGGGTCCTCAGGCAAAACAGCAGCAAGCCAGTACCTCAGAGAACACTTGATTTCTTGGTTTTTCAAAACAGTTTCTCTTGAAACTTAGAGATTCGCCTGCCTCTGCCTCCTAAGCGCTATGATTAAAGGTGTGCACCACCATGCCTGGCTAGAAAACTCTTTAAAATGACCAGAATGAAGCCAGACATGATAGCAAATGCCTTTATTCCCAACACTCAGGAGCCAGAGGGGTAGGAAGTCATGGTAAGGAGAGACAGTCTCTTCTGGGTAACATGTTTCTCCACTCTCAAGGAGCCTCAAGGAAGAAGGAGCCCTGCTCACGGGCACCAAGTCTATATCCACTTCTTCAGATGTGACGTCCAGTCTGTTCCTCAGTCCTACACAGGGCTGAGGTACAGGCATCAACTGGAAAACCGGCCATGAGAGGACAGTGGCAGAACAGTGACATCATGATGGAGGAGCCCAACCCAGCCCTTCCTGGCAGTCCGCTGACACTGGTTCCCTTAATGGGATTAGGCCCTACGCCATAGGGTGTGTGGGGTGTTTGCAGGCAGGAGCTCCCTCCCTCCCCACCCTGGGCTGGCTGACTGGTTTCTCATTCACAGCTCCTCTGAGGTTAGTGCCATATTCTGCCCGGAGGCCTGAGAAAATGGCATCCGCCTAGGATGGGCAGACTGTCCACAATGGCAGTTTAACTGGGTTTCTCTCACGGGCTCTGTGGGCTTGTGTTGTAATCAGTGGACTCCCTGTGGGCTGGAGAGGGGAGGGGCTTATCCGGAGTCTGGAGCTAGTTGGCTCTTTCCAGTAATACGTTTGCTCTGCAGCAGCCCATTGGCCACTCCGTGTCACCACCACCCCTGAACAAGACCCCCTCGTGATTCTCCAGTGATCTGTTTCAGGTACGACGAGGAGCTGGCCCAGGGTGACGGGGCTGAGAGAGAGCTCAGAAGCCGCCCCGGCCAGCCGGTGGGGCCCAGAGCAGGCCGCTCGAGAGAGTCGGGGAGAAATGTCCTCACGACCTGGAAGTGACCAGCATTGGGAAGAAAGACCCCCAGCCTTCCCGCAATTGCTCCACCCAGACTCTGCTCAACATATATTTTGGAATTCCCTTTTTCTAGAGTGCTTTCCTGAGCCCTTGTAAATAAAGACACTCTGCAAGGTGGAGGACTCCATGTCATCAGGGCTCATATACGCTCTTGAAAATGACAGCGTCAGTGTGTGATGTAACATCCTTTTTTTTAAAGATTTATTTTATTATTTTTATTTTTTGAGATAGGTATCCTTGGCTGGCCTGGAACTTGTTATGTAGACCAGGCTGGCTTGGAACACTCAGAGGTCCACCTGCCTCTGTCTCCCAAGTGCTGGGATTAAAGGTGTACACCATCACATCTGACTTTGTGTGTGTGTGTGTGTGTGTCATCCAAGGTAAACACAAGAGGGCACCAGATTCCCCAGAGCTAGAGTTACAGGCTGTCCAAAGTGGGTTCTGGGAATGAAACAGTGGTTCTCTGCAAGAGCAACAAGTGCTTATAAATTTCAGTCATCTCTCTAGCCCCCTGATGCAGCTTCTTAAAAGGCTCACATTCACCGGGCGTCAGTGGCACACGGGAGGCAGAGCCAGGCGGATCTCTATGAGTTCGAGGCCAGCCTGGTCTACAGAGCGAGATCCAGGACAGGCACCAAAACTACACAGAGAAAACTTGTCTCAAAAAACAAAACAACAAAAAAGGTTCACATTCATTAAACTTTTCACTTTGAAAAAGGTTAAACAGACACGTTTCAAAAAGGTTAAACATGACGTGTTTCCTGGAGCGCTGCTGCCGTGAGAAAGTTTAATCCGACAGCCATCCCGCTTCATTCCCTCACTTCAGTGTGGAGCAGACAGGCATTTCCCTCTGCAAGGCCCCTTCTGCTGTCCTCCTGGGGGGCCAGTTTCTGTCGCTTCGCTTTGGAGACAAGGCACAGTGGAGCAGGTGAGCCCGGACAGATCCTCAGGGGAGGTTGCTGCGGCTCAGGCATCCGGCTTTGACGGCACCGCCAGCAGCAGTTTACGGGGAGCTTCCCTGGACACCAGGGCCTCGGAGTAGTGTGGGGAGAGACGAGCTGTCACACACGTAAGCCCTGCTTGCAAGTGGGTTTGTGTTTGTTTTGTTTTTTCGAGACAGGCTTTCTCTGTGTAGCCCTGGCTGTCCTGGAACTTGCTTTGTAGCCCAGGCTGGCCTTGAACTCAGCGATCCACCTGCCTCTGCCTCCCAAGTGCTGGGATTAAAGGTGTGGGTACCACCGCCGCCGAGCACAACAGCCTTTTTCTGATAGTCACATCTAACACCTGTGCCCTGGTATGTGAGTCACTACCTGAAATTTATGATAAAAGACCCTTGTGCTCAGCTGTGTTGGACAATAGATATCACATCATGGGGGCCCATGTCTCCCTACACATGTATACATGTTATTAATGTGTCTTTGCTAATAAAGGAAAGGTCTTCTTCAATGTGTTTGGTGTCATGTAAGGTGAGAGACGCAGTCATACAGCGGGTGTTCAGCCAGAATCTGAAAAGGCTGCAGCTGGGGCACGTCATTTTTCCATGTGACTTCCTGGGCAGGCAAGACACACTCTGTGCACCCCGCAGGTGCAGCGCTGTGTGCTGGTGACGGACTCGGAGCCGAGCTGAGAGCCGGGCTCTGTGTTTCTTAGCTGTGACCTGTGTGGTCCCATTGGCTCTGGGGACTTTAAATAAAATGAGAGAACACGGTGTGGGGACTGTCAGGTCCCAAAGAAACTCAAGGACAAATGGCTAACTGTGGTGCCTGTTAGCATGCCAGAGCACACACTGGCGGCCAGGCTCACTCAGCACCTTTGGCTATTCTCAGCTTTTCTCACCCTGCCCCCTACCTTAAATCTCTCTAGCCCGAGGGTGTCCCTTCCCTTCCCTAGCTTCTCATTCCTATAGAAGCCTGCCATTTCAACTGCACACTCTGTCCCTCAACCCTCCGTCCTGGCCCTCTCTCTCTCTTTTCTTCTCTCGCTCCCCCCCAACCACCCATGGCTCAGTTCAATCTACTCTCCAAGTTCAGCCTACTATTTTCTCTGCCAGCTCTGGACTCTTCCAGATGCCTCTGGCTGTTCTCTCCCTCATACCTACAATAAAAACCTCCTCCTCAGCCATACCTTGGAGCAGTCATGTCCTCATCCTCACTCAGAGATACACGGCTGTAATCCCAAACTTGGGAGGTGAGGGTCGGATACTCACCATGCATCCAAAGTCAGCCTGCACTACATAGCTAGACCCTGTCTCACTCAGACTCCTTGACTGCAGAATGGGGGTTAGCTGAATTTTCCTCAAAAGTAACAAGGGCCACAGGCTATACCTGGCTCACTTCCCTCATGGTCTGGCTCCAACTTGCTCCTCTCCTGAGACAGTGAGTTGCAAGGCTCATGGCCCCACACCTCTGCCCTGCCCGTGGTGGTAAGATGACTCCCGCTAAGTTTAACCAGTTGTGTGCCTGCTTGGTTCTTCCAGTCTTCCTTCTCAGGAGGTCTGGAGAGGGGGAGTCCCTGGCCAGGCGAGCTGACCCACTGAAGGGCTGAGGATGCGCAGCTGTTCTGAACACGTGATAGGTGATTTGTTGATGGCTCGGTTGCTAGGTGTGAGGCCCTGCCAAATGGATTTGTGTCAAAGATTGACTGTTGCCGTGGTGATATCATACTCTGGGGCAGATGTTTCCTCTGCACACTTCCAGAACACACACCAGGAGGAAGCGTGTGATATCAGAGCAGGCCTTGAGGAACCATGAGGATGGGAAACAGAGCTGCTTACCGCCCAAGCCCATGGCTCAGGCACTCACCCCTTTGGGGACTGTCCTGGATCACAGTCCGGTTACTTTCCCCTCATAATGGGTGGGTCCCAGAACCTGAACAACAGTGTTTGGTTAGGTCCATGACCAGATACGTGTGAACTATCCCAGGGCTGACCTACTGTCTACCTGCTTCCCACAGGGGCTGCTGTGGCCCCCCAGGCCTTGAGATAGGCCCTCACTCTGTCTCCCTTCTTCTCTGATGCCGTCTCTGCTAGCGTAACCATTTGTCTTGGGACTACACTTGTCCAGCAGGCTTTTTCTACAATGTGGCTCTGCCATCGTCCTGTGCTTGGGCCAGTCCTTGGTCCTCTGGTCCAGGTTCCTGCCTGCCTGGCTCCCTGTATGGTGTCATTGACCTCAGGTTTACCTACCTCTTCTCTGCATGGGTTTTGGGCCATCCTTCTCCAACAAAGCAGCCCACTCCCTCTGGGCGACACTATCACCTCCGTGTCAGGCCATGTTCGGGGTAGCAGGCAGGCTGGGTCTGCTGCAGAGCTAAAATGCCCTGCCATTGGGTTCCTGGACATCCTAGCGCTGGCCTAGCACCTAGATATTCGTTGTGTTACCTAATGTGAACTGTGCCAACCGTTGTTGTGCCCTGGGACCTTTCAGCACCTGCTGTGAGGGAACAGTGGCTCTTTCTTTTATGGTTCTTAGCAGCCTCAACTGGATCTGCAATGCTTTGAAGTTAAAAACAGCATTCTCTAGGAACATGTTCTATTTATGGAATAAAATATTACCTAACCCTAGAATATAAAGTCAAACCAATCTAATATCTTACAAGAAAAGAGAAACAAAAGATTCCTCCTTTTGGACCCCAAGAAAGGCAGCCTTTTGCCCCCTGCCAAGGTAACTGGAGCTGTTAGCAGGAGCCAGCCTCTGAATCTGCAGCATGCCCTGCATACAGCCGTGCCCTGCCTGCCACACATGCTTCTCCCCACCAGGTTTAACTAATTCGATTTTTGTTGTAGAATATTATTTTAGGGTGTGTTACTTTTGTTTATGCTGCATTTGTTTAACTCTGTGAAGCTGTGTTACTGTGCCTGTCTAAAACACCTGGTGGTCTAATAAAGAGCTGAGAGAGAGAAATAGACAGGGCTGGCAGGCAGAGAGGATAGATAGAAAGAGAAATCTATCCTCTCTGAAAAGAAAGAAGTAGCCAGAGAAGGAGGAGGACTCCAGGGGCCAGCCACCCAGCCACCCAGCCACCCAGCCACCCAGCCACCCAGCCACCCAGCCACCCAGCTACACAGCAAACCATGGAGTAAGAGTAAGATTTACAGAAGTAAGAGAATGGAAAAGCCCAGAGTCAAAAGGTAGACAGGATAATTTAAGGAAAGCTGGTGAGAAACAAGCCAAGTTAAGGCTGAACATTTATAATTAAGAATAAGCCTCCATGTGTGATTTATTTGGGAGATGAGTGGCAGACCCCTCAAAAGAGCAAAAGCAACAACAGATTTTTCTCACTTCTTCGGCACTTTTTGAGGATCAGGGTAATGGAGTTTGAGAAAATTTTATTCTGTAGTCCAGGTTGGCTTTAAACTCACAGCAATCCTCCTGACTCAGCCTCTCAAGTGTTGAGATTACAGGTGAGACCCCCCCATGTCTGGCTGATTTTTCTCATATAAAAATGCCTTGTGAGTTTTAAAAAAATTTTTTTAAAGGGCTGGTGAGGCTGGAGAGATGGCTCAGTATTTAAAAGCACTTACTCTTCCAGGGACCTGGGTTCAGTTCCTAGCATCCACATAGTAGTTCACAACTGTCTTTAACTCTAGTTCCAGGGGATCTGACACCATTTTCTGAGCTCCACAGGCATCAGGCACACATGTGGTACACATGCATACATGGAAGCAAATCACTTGGACACATAAAATAAACCTAAAAAAAATTAAAAATCACCAGGCATAGTGGCACACACCTTAAATCCTAGCACTTGGGAGGCAGAAACAGGAGGATCTCTGTGAGTTCAAGGCCAGCCTGGGCTATTGGAGTGAGTTCCAGGAAAGGCTCTAAAGCTACACAGAGAAATCCTGTCTCAAAAACAAACAAACAAAGTTGATTAGAAACAAGCCAAGCTAAGGCCTGGCATTTATAATCAAGAATAAGCCTCCATGTATGGTTTATTTGGGAGCTGGGTGGCAGGCCCCCAGAAGAGCAAAAACAACCAACAGCAGAGCTAGATGTCAAGGATCACCAGGGCCTTACCATCTCCTCCATCACCCTGCTGCACGGGGACACTGGAAGTCTGTCCAGGACAGAGGCCCCATGAATAGCAGCAGCTATATTCTACCCTCCCCCCACCCCGCTTTGTTTCTTGAGACAGGGTTTTTCTGCATAGCTCTGGCTGTCCTGGAACTCACTCTGTAGACCTGACTGAACTCGGACTCAGAGATTCACCTGCCTCTACCTCCTGACTGCTGGGATTAAAGGTGTGTGCCACCACCACCCAGCATATCCATATTATTTTTAATTGTGTTTGTGGGTATGTGCACATGACCACAGAGGTCAGAGCTGATGGGTCCCCTGGAACTGGAATTACAGACAGTTGTGAGCCACCTGATGTGGGTGCTGAGAATCAACCTCAGGTCCTCTGGAAGAGCAGCAAGTGCTCTTAACCACTGAGCCATCTCTCCAGCTCTCTGTTTAACTTTTTCATTGCATTTATTATTATTACTGTGGCATGGAGTCCCCAGTGCCATACAATGTCTTGAACCTGGCCCCTGAGTATGTTTCTGCAAGGTACAGACTTCAGGACACACTTTCCCATTAAAAACAACAACAACAAAACCCCTCATGTCTTTAGCATGAGGACTCGGAAGGAGGGTCTCTGCAGATGTAAGGAGCTCAAAACCTACTGACTGATTGGGAGAGGACACCACACATGGAGAAGGCCATGCAAAGACAGGCGGAACCTGAAGTGAAGCGCCGTGAGCCAAGGCATGCCGGAGCTGCTGTTGCCTAGAAACAAAGCCAGGTTTAGAGGCGACGTGCCCTGCAGACACCAGGTTATGGGCCTCAGGCCTCCTGAATCATCCAAATATATTCCTGCATTTTTAGGCCACCATGTTTGAAGTCATTGGTTCCTGCAGGAGAGAGGGCTCCAGAGACTTTGTCCCCGAGTCAGTAGCTGCTTAGTGACGGTGGACGTGCCTGTTTGGGTCTGTCCACGTGTCCTCAGGCTTTATTCCCCCTGACCCTGGCTCTGCAGCTCTGAAGTCACCTGCTGCACACTGGTGATCCTCTTTCCCAGCCCAATTTCTCCATCCAAAGCTGACAGCTTATGCTCAGTGAACTGTCCTGGAATCCTGTCACTCTCAGCGGCTGGTACCCCACTCCATTTTTGCCTCTTGCCTTGGGTTTCTGGGATCTCAGTGCCCTCCTCTCTCACATGCATGTACACACACACACACACACACACACACACACACACACACACACACACCTACCTCTGAACTCCATCCAGGAACCAAGTTTTCTTGATTTTTATTACCTCATCTCTGTCACCCTGTCCCCTGTCACCTGTCCCCATTCCTCTATCTCCACACCCCTTCTCTCCCACTCCCTCCAGCCCCACCCTTCCCTTCAGAATGGCAAACCCGAGGCAGGGCAGGCCCCTACTTCTGGAACACCTGG